CTTTCTAGCCTCTTGAGAGTAATTTTTTTTGAGACAGGGTCTCCCTCTGTAGCTCAGACTGGCCTCAAACTCACTATATAGACCAAGCTGGCCTTGAACTCAAAGAGATCCACTGTGAATTGACCTTGGAGTCAGCACGGAACACACCCAGACGCCAAGTTCTCAGCACAAAGGAGATTTATTATTCCAGGAGGGACAAGCAGGGTGGTGGGGTCAGGGCGAGGAGGGCTGCCTCTGGATTGCACAAAGCCAGACAGCAGGTGTTTCTGCAGGCATGGGTTTTAAGGAGAAAAGGGGAAGTCTGTGCTGAGTTGGTAAGTCCTGATTGGACAAGTTAGCCAAGTTAATGAATTTTGATTGCTGGACCTTGGTGTTTTGATAGCTGGACCTTGGAGTTTTAGTCAGGCATAAGGAAGTGTCCAAATAAGGCAACAGGCCTTGTTGTCTAGCTTTAGGAATGTAATCTAACAGTTTAGCAAGAGAAGGGGAGAAGGCAAGACCTACCAGCACCATATTTGCTGTACTTGGGCCTGTTAGAGTCCTTCACCCTGGGCTGGAGAGATGGCTCAGTGGTTAAGAACACTGGCTACTCTTCCAGATGGACAGGTTCAATTCCCAGCAAGCATATGAGTCTTTTGTTTTTCGAGACAGGGTTTCTCTGTGTAGCTTTGGAGCCTATCCTGGCACTCACTCTGTAGACCAGGCTGGTCTCAAACTCACAGAGATCAGCCTGCCTCTGCCTCCCAATGCTGGGATTAAAGGCATGTGCCACCAACGTCCAGCCCATGTGGCTGCTTTTGTAGTGTACTTTTATAAAATCTAACTCAATTTAGCAGATCTTTTATATTAAGTAGTGCATTTTGATTTATACCTTTCCAGTTCTTTTAGTTGATATTTAGTGTGTATAAATATTAATTAATTGGGTTAATATAACAGGACCACAGTCAGAGTCACAGAAATACCAAAGACCGATGTGGCTGTTGGGGAGTAGGGGGCTTAGAGTATCTATGAAGATAAAAAATGAGGTCAGGACACGGTGGCATTACCTTAGTCACTTCAACACAAACCACTGTTTGCATGTGGAGACCAAAGGACAGTTTTATTTTCTCCTTCTACCTTTTTGTTTTGTTTTGTTTTGCTTTTCCAGACAAGGTTTCTCTGTGTAGCCCCAGCTGTCCTGGAACTCTCTATAGATCAGGCTGGCCTTGAACCTGGAGACCCACTTGCCTCTGCCTCCAGACCACTGTGATAAAAGGTGTGTGCTGCCACACCTGGTCGATACCCAAGCCAGTGATATCTTCATCGTGTACTACTGACTTTCCTTTTCTCAGAAGTTCTCGAGTTGGAATTCCACAGGGGAGCCTTTTCAGGTAGACATCTTTTGTTGTCTAATGTGTATCCAAGTTTGAGGACATACATCGGTGACCCAGCCCTTGGGAAGCAGAGGCAGAAGGAGCAGGAGTTTGAGGTCAGCCTGAACTAAATAGTAAGTTTCAGGCCAGTCTGGAAAGGGCCTGGGGGATTGTTCATTGTGGAGAAGTGCTCCCTACACAAGCTTAATGTCTTGACTTCAATTTCTGTGAACCATGGTGGAAGAAGAGAACCAACTCCACAGATCTGTCCCCTCACCTCTGCATGCGCTACTTTTTTGTTTGTTTTTTATTTTTTCGAGACAAGGTTTCTCTGTATTCCTTTGGAGGCTGTCCTGGAACTAGCTCTTGTAGACCAGGCTGGTCTCAAACTCACAGAGATTCGACTGCCTCTGCCTCCCTAGAAATTGCTGGGCAGCAGCGGTGCACGCCTTTAATCCCAGCACTTGGGAGGCAGAGGCAGGCGGATCTCTGTGAGTTCCAGGCCAACCTGTCTACAGAGAGAGCTTCATGATAGAAGGGATACACCGAGAAACCCTGTTTCAAACAAACAAAAACAAACAAACAAACAAAACCCAAAACAAAAAAACCCTTCCTCCCAAAAAAAGAAAGTAAGAAATCATTGTGTCTTGATGGTTGTGATGAGCAAGAGCCCATGGAAATTGTGGGCCCCTCAAAATCTTTTTTTTTTTTTCCCGAGACAGGGTTTCTCTGTGGCTTTGGAGGCTGTCCTGGAACTCTGTAGACCAGGCTGGCCTCGAACTCACAGAGATCCGCCTGCCTCTGCCTCCCGAGTGCTGGGATTAAAGGCGTGTGCCACCAACGCCCGGCTTGCCCCTCAAAATCTTTTGTAGAGAGAGAAGTTCCTCTCCACAGACGGAGACAGGAACTCCATTTGTGGCAGTCTCTTTGTGGCTCAGGGAGAACCAGCTGAAGTGGAGTGATCAGGCTTTCTCAGTGGGCTCCACCTAAGCCCTGTTCCAGGCTCCACCCACCCTTCCTCCCAATGCTCCTGTGGTTTTCGTCTCTCTGTAGTTGCAGACAATGCTGAACCTGGGGTCTTAATCAGGGGCTTGAAATCTAGCTTTCCCATTGTGTTCATGATTTATTATTATTATTTTCATAATTAATATTCAGATTATGTGTTCTGTCCCAAGGAGGTAAGAAGGATATTTGTTTTTGTTTTTTCAAGACTGGGTCTGTGTAGACCAGGCTGGCTTCGAACTCAGAGATCCACCTGCCCTCTCCTCCTGAGTGCTAGGATTAAGGCATGAGCCACCACCATCAGGTGTTGAGGAAGTAAGAAAGATGTACTGGTTCTCCAGTAGCCTTGGCTGTACTGAAACACACTTATAGACCAAGCTGACCCCCAAATTCACTATGTAGCCCAGGATAACCTTGAACTGCTGGTTCCCCTGCCTCCATCTCTCTTTTTATTTATTTATTTATTTTTGAGACAGGGTTTCTCTGTGACTTTGGAAGCTGTCCTGGAACTAGCTCTTGTAGACCAGGCTGGCTTCGAACTCAGAGATCCACTTGCCTCACCTCCCACCTCCCGAGTGCTGGGATTAAAGATGTGTGCCACCACTGCCCGGCTAGCCTCAATCTCTTTTTTTTTTTTTAAGATTTATTTATTTATTACATATACACCAGATTGATTTGTAGATGGTTGTCAGCCACCTTGTGGTTGCTGGGAATTGAACTCAAGACCTCTGGAAGAGCAGTCAGTGCTCTTAACCTCTGAGCCATCTCTCCAGCCCCTAGCCTCAATCTCTTTAATGCTGATGTTGCTGCCATTCGGTTTGGTTTTCGTATTGCTGGGGACAGAACCCAGGATTACATACCTGTTAGGCAAGCACTCAACTGAAGTATATCCCCCAGTTTCTTCTAAACTATTACCTTAATTTTAAAAAATTGTCTTTCCTTCCTTTCTTCTCTGTGTGCACTTGGGCATGTGTGCATGACAAGGTGCAGACACAGAGGTCAGAGGACAGCTTCCAGGAGCTGGTTTTTTCCTTCTACCATATGGGTCCTGGGATCCAGCTCAGTTCAGGTGGTCAGCCAGGGTCAAGACCCTTTTCCTGATAAGCCATTTCATCAGCTCTAGCAAACCATTTTTAACTGCAAATTCTGTGGGAGAAATCATTATTCATTTATTCAAAGTTGTGACATGCAAAGAACAGTCTGGCTACAGTCTGGGACTAGTTATTGGGACAAGTACTGTCAGTGCAATTACTTTTTGTGTTTTATTTCTTCCTTTCCCAAAGATTTATTTTTAAGTGCACTCGTGTTTTGCCTACATGTATGTCTGCATGACGGTATCATATCCCCTGGAACTGGGGTTACAGACAGTTGGGAGTTGCCAAGTAGCACCCACTTGGGTATTGAACCCCAGACCCTCTAAAATAACAGCCAGTGCTCTTAATCACTGAGTCATTTTCCCAGCCCCCATAACACTTACTTAATATGAGTGAGGCATTAGGTTCAATTCTCAGTAGTGGTAAATAAACAAACAATAATAAAGTATAGCAGCGACCAGCCTGGACTACCAAGCGAGTTCCAGGACAGCCTCCAAAGCCACAGAGAAACCCTGTCTCGAAAAAAAAAAAAAAAAAAAAAAAGGTATAGCAGCCTAGGCATAGAGGGGAGGTAGAGGTAGGCAGATCTCTGTGACTTCAAGGCCAGTCTGATCTACACAGCTAATTCCAGGACAACCAGGTTTACATAGTGAGACCTTGTCTCAAAACAAACAAAAAAGGTATAATAAGTCCGATGGTGCAAAGAGGTATTGAGAGTTATAAAACAAATGAGGGGCAAGTTCTGGACCGTGTGCACCTGAATGTTGCTATGGCTATGCAGGATGCCTGAGTGCTGTGACAGGTGGCTTGCAGCGCGGTATGCTGCGTAAAGGGCAAATGCAAAGGCCAGGAGCTGGACGCTAGCTGGAGTGACAGCAGGAGACTACCGACGTACCTTAGAGACCAGTCACTTGTGACCTTCTAGACGCCTCTTAGCCCCGACAGTAAGTATGCCACACCCAATATGGCGGGGCCACTAGTCCATCCGGGCGCCAGCGGAAGTGCGTATTCAGGGGCGCCGAAAGTGAGGCGCAGCCACGCCCCTTACCGGGGTTTCTGTGGAGCTGTGGCGGTGCCGGCTTCGAGCATCCCTGCCCTGGCAGGCTGGGGACTCCGAGACTGCAGTTCCGGCGGCCAGCTCCAGAGAGGTACGATCCGCGCCTCTCCCGCCCTGGCGCCTGGGGTCCCCTCGGTGCTCCCTCCTGACCCTGGCCATGCTCCGAGGCCCATCCTTGCCCCCTCCTGCTCTTCTCCCAGGCCCTCCCTTCTGTCCCCATTCTGTTCCTAGGCTCACAATCCCGATGGTCAGAATGGACCTTTTCACATTGCCTGCTGAATTTCTAGGCCATTTCCCCAACTCCCTGTGCGTTGGCTCGGCTCTCGAAGCTGTGGGACGTTGCCCCTTCTGCTCCTGTTTTCTTGTTTGGTTTACTCTGTAGTTCAGACTTGCCTGGAACTCAGTGTGCAGCCCACGCTAATTTTGAACTTACAGCAATTCTCCTGTCTTAGCCTCTGTATTGCAGGGATTACAGGTGTGGTTCACCACACGAGGTTTTATGCGCAGCAGCTGAGGATGGAGCCTAGGGCTTCATGGGTGCTAGGCAAGCACTCTACCAACTCAGCCACGTCCCCAGCGCCCCCCACCTCCCCGCTTCTTCTTTCCTATCTGCATAAGTGCACTTCTTTCTGGAGCCTGGTTGTGATGTGGGGGAGGGTGATAGAGCTTCGGTCTGACCCCAAGGCTCTATGATCTAGAACCTCTGGAGAATCCCACTGTGTCCTGTTATGTGGGTGTACAGTATTTTCTCTGCAGACACAGTACAGGGGAACAGGGGAAGGGGGAGGATCTGGCTGCTTCCGGTTGATGCCTGCCCACCTGCGTTTATATTTGTTTTTTCCTAGGACTCCTGCTTTATTATATTAGTGTGTGTGTGTGTGTGTGTGTGTGTGTGTGTGTGTGTGTGTGTGTGTTTTGGGGTATATGCATGCGAGTGCAGTTGTCCACAGAAACCATCAGATTCCCTGGAACTGAAGAACTGAAGTACAGGCAGTCGGGAGCTACTCAACATGGTTGCTGGGAACTGAACTCTGGTTCATTGCAAGAGCAGTATGTACTTGTAACTTGTAACCTCTGAGCCATCTCTCCAACCAGGACAACCTTAGTTCTACGAGTCCTACATAGTGGACGAGAGACCCGACATCCACAAGTTGTTCTCTGACTTAACACGGGCACTTATGCTCTCTCTCTCTCTCTCTCTCTCTCTCTCTCTCTCACACACACACACACACACACACACACGTTACATATATGTTAAAAAAGGGAAATTCGGCTGGGTGTTGGTGGTGCACGCCTTTAATCCCAGCACTCAGGAGGCAGAGGCAGGTGAATCTCTGTGAGTTCGAGGCCAGCCTGGTCTACAGAACGAGTTCCAGGACAGGCTCCAAAACAATACAGAGAAACCTTGTCTAGGGAAAAAAAAAGGGGAAATTCAGTATAGTATGTATCTATGAAAATTGCTAAGTGTCTTGTTTGAAATTTGCTCTCCTTGGGGAGATGTGCCGGGCAGCAGAGTGGCAGAGGGGAGGCTGTTTCAGGCCCGTAGCATGCTGTGTGCTGTTCACTGGAAAGGCCGTTGAGGGCTGGGATGTGGCTCATCTCGAGTGCTTGCCTTGCAGGCATGAAACCCTGGGTTCTCTTCCCAGCCCTGGGCCTGGTGGTACATTCCTGTGATTCTAGCACTTGGGAGGTGGAGGCAGGAGAATCAGGAGTCCAAGGTCACTCCTGAGCAGTTTGTGGTCAGTTTGGGCTACACGAGACACTGTCAACAAGGAAAGGGAAAAGAAGTGATTGTTGGGAGCGAGGCATGATGGCACATGCATATATTGCCAGCACCATGTTCAAGCTCAGGCTGGGTTACATAGTGAGTTCAAGGTCAGCCTGGACTTTATAGCAAGTTGCCTTTTTTTTTTCTTCTTCCATTTTTTGGTTTCTCTGTGTATCCCTAGCTGTTCTGGAACTCACTCTGTAGACCAGGCTGGCCTTGAAATCACAGAGCTCTGACTGTGTCTTCCTTCTGAGCACTGGGATTAAGGCGTGTGCCACTACTGCCTGGCAGAAAGTTGTTTTAACACCTAGGAAAAGCCAGAACATTAGGGAAGCTGGCTGAAGGTGGCCGCCCGTGGTTCTTTCTCACCTCGTGTCCTGGTTTGAGTTCTAAGAGGAGATTCTGAGACCTCTGTTCTTCACCCTCTGGTGAAGAGTTGGTAAAATTTCTCTCTGTGGGGGTGGGCTCCTCCTGTTTGGGCATCCCCAGTGCTGGGATTCCCGGCAGGTGCTGCCTTGCAATGCTTTTTATGTGGGTGCTGGGGAATCCAAACTCAGGTCCTTCTGCTTGTCCAGCTAGCATCTAATGCCTGGTCCACCTCCTCCCTCTGTTATCCCTCACTTCCAGGACATGTCCAACGATGATGCTGCTGCCCCCACGGCTGAAGAGGCATCGGGTGACACCCACCTGCTGGGCTTCTCAGATGAGATCCTCCTGCATATCTTGAGCCATGTCCCCAGCACAGACCTGGTTCTCAATGTGCGGCACACCTGCCGGAAGCTCTCAGCCCTGTGCCTGGACAAGAGCCTGGTGCACACCGTGCTGCTTCAGAAGGATTACCAGGTGACTCAGGTGTGGGTGGAAGGTCAGGATCGACCAAGGCGCTAGCCTGTGGGGGCTGGTGGTACTGATGTTTGCACAGAAGGCTATGCAGCTGGGAAGAGCCACACATTATATATAGTGACAGACAGGGTAGAAAAGGGTATTTGGTGTGTCCCATGGCAGAAGGGCATAGAACATGTGGATGTAGTTCTGGGAGGGAGGGAGTCTGGGCCTCCTTCCCCATAGGTACCCTAGGGTGGAGTTACTGCACCACAGGATAGATTGTAGAAGTCCTTGTGAAGTGACACAGTGGGTGGCACAGTTGACATTGCTGCAAGATGGCTGTCCCCCATTGCTCAGGGCCGAAGTAGAAGTATCTGATTAACCTGAGCCATGAGCCCACTGCGGCAGGGTACACGTGTAGTCCCAGCACTCAGGAGGTTGAGGCAGTATGACCACAGCTCAGAGCACTTTAGTAAGGTCTTGTCTCAAACAAAAACAAATAAAAAATGCCAGACAGGTGTGCCTGATGGCATAGGCCTATAATCTCAGCATTCAGGAGCTGAGGCCAGATCTGTAAATTCAAGGCCAGACTTGTCTACACAGAGTTCCAGGCCAGCCAAGGCTACAAAGTGAGGCCTTGTCTTTAAAAATGTCTCTCCTGCCCTGTCGCATTCTGCAGGCCAGTGAGGACAAGGTGAAGCAGCTGGTGAAGGAGATTGGCCGGGAGATCCAGCAGCTGAACATGGCAGGCTGCTATTGGCTGTCCGGCTCTACCATCGAGCATGTGGCCCGCTGTCATAGCCTGGTAAAGGTGAACCTGTCAGGCTGCCACCTCACCTCCTTGCGTCTGTCCAAGGTGCTGTCAGCTCTGCAGCACCTGCGCTCACTGGCCATCGACGTGAGTCCCGGCTTCGACGCCAGCCAGCTGAGCAGTGAGTGCAAGGCCACGCTGAGCCGCGTACAGGAGCTCAAGCAGACGCTGTTCACACCATCCTATGGTGTGGTGCCCTGCTGTGCCAGCCTGCAGAAGCTGCTGCTCTACTTCGAGATCCTGGACCGCACACGCGAGGGTGCCGTCCTCTCCGGCCAACTCATGGTGGGCCAAAGCAACGTGCCCCATTACCAGAACCTGCGCGTCTTCTATGCACGCCTGGCCCCTGGCTACATCAACCAGGAGGTGGTGCGACTCTACCTCGCCGTGCTCAGTGACCGTACGCCCGAGAACCTGCATGCCTTCCTCATCTCTGTCCCTGGCAGCTTCGCGGAGAGTGGGGCCACCAAGAACCTGCTGGACTCCATGGCCCGCAACGTGGCCCTGGATGCCCTGCAGCTGCCCAAGTCGTGGCTGAATGGCCCCACCCTCCTCCAGCATATGAAATTCAACAACCCCTTCTACTTCAGCTTCAGCCGGTGTACGCTGTCGGGTGGCCACCTGATCCAGCGGCTCATCAATGGCGGGAAGGACCTGCGCAGCCTGGCCAGCCTCAACCTCAGCGGCTGTGTGCACTGCCTGTCTGCGGACTCGCTGCTCCGTAAGGCAGAGGACGACATTGACAGCAGCATCCTGGAGACGCTGGTGGAGTCCTGCTGTAACCTGCACCACCTCAACCTCTCAGCCGCCCACCACCACAGCTCTGACGGCCTGGGCCGCCACCTCTGCCAGCTCCTGGCCCGGCTCTGCCACCTGCGCTCCCTTTCCCTGCCCGTCTGCTCTGTGGCTGACTCAGCACCTAGACCAGATCGTGCGCCTGCCCCACCGGCCATGCATGCAGTGCCCCGGGGCTTTGGCAAGAAGGTGCGCATTGGGGTGCAGACCTGTCCCAACCCCTTCCTGGGCCAGTCGGCCCCCCAGCCTGCCTCTGTGTTCTGGTGTCTGCTGAAGAAGCTCCCTTATCTGGAGCACCTGGAACTTATCGGGTCCAATTTCTCCTCAGCCATGCCCCGGAATGAGCCCGCCATCCGCAACTCCCTCCCACCCTGCAGTCGGGCGCAGAATGTCGGGGACTCAGAAGTGGCTGCCATTGGCCAGCTGACCTTCCTGCGGCACCTGACACTAGCCCAACTGCCAGGCATGCTGACAGGCTCCGGACTAGTGAGCATTGGCCTACAGTGTCAGCAGCTGCAGTCTCTGTCGTTGGCCAACCTGGGCATGATGGGGAAGGTGGTGTACATGCCTGCTCTTGCTGACATGCTGAAGCACTGCAAGCGGCTGAAGGACCTGAGGTGAGGGGCTGAGGTTTGAGGGACTGAAGTGAGGGGAAGGGGAGATGAGGTGTAAGGAACGGATGACTTGAAGAGAAGATTGAGTAACTGAGCTGAGGATATGAGGTGAGGGGGCTGAGGGCCTGAGGTGAGGTGTGAGGGGGTGAGGGCCTGAGGTGTGAGGGGATGAGGGCCTGAGGTGTGAGGGGATGAGGTGTGAGGTGTGAGGGAATGAGGGCCTGAGGTGTGAGGGCCTGAGGTGTGAGGTGTGAGGGGATGAGGGCCTGAGGTGTGAGGGCCTGAGGTGTGAGGTGTGAGGGGATGAGGGCCTGAGGTGTGAGGGGATGAGGGCCTGAGGTGTGAGGGATGAGGGCCTGAGGTGTGAAGAGCTGAAGCCCTCAGGCTTCTCTGAGGGTTTGTAGATGTACTCTGCCTACCAAGGTGGAGATCAGAGCCAACAGACAGGCCTGTCCTGGAGATCAAAGGCATGAGAGATGTCCGTGTCTGAAGTGGATGGCTTCAGGAAACTGGGGTCATGGTAGTTAAGCAGAGCCTTGGGAGGCCTGTGAGGTAGGAATCCTGGGGATCCTGAGCTTGGCATGGATCTTGTCATCACTTCTCACATTTTCTTAGTCCTTGTTCCATGCTCCACGTAGTGCTACCTCATTCACAGCTTTATGGTCTTAAAATTATGTTTTAGTTAGATTCATTTACCTTCCTTCCTTCCTTCCTTCCTTCCTTCCTTCCTTCCTTCCTTCCTTCCTTCCTTCCTTCCTTCCTTCCTTCCATTTTAGAGACAGGGATTCTCTGTGGCTTTGGAGGCTGTCCTGGAACTAGCTCTGTAGACCAGGCTGGTCTCGAAGTCACAGAGATCCACCTTCCTCTGCCTCCTGAGTGCTGGGATTAAAGGTGTGCGCCACCACTGCCCGACTTCCTTTATTTTTATATGTGTGTGTTCAGTCTGTATGCCACATGTGCACAGTGCCTGTGGAGGCCAGCAGAGATGTCAGATCCCCTGGAACTGGAGTTACAGAAGGTTGTGAGCCACCATGTGGGTGCTGGGAATCCAACCTGGGTCCTTTGGATCAGCAGCCGATGCCCCTAACCATTGAGCCATCTGTCTAGTGCTGTGTCCTATTTCCCCCATTTTTTTGAGACGAGGTCTGGCTGGCCTAGAACTTATATAGACCAGGCTGTCCTTGAATTCCCACATCCTCCTGTTTCTGCCTCCTGAGTGCTGGGATTAAAGGTGTGCTCCACTGTACCCAACCCCCAATTTTATTATTACTATTACTATTGTGTGTGAGTGTGTGTGTGATGTGTATATGTGGGATACATTGCTGTGTGCACATGTGGACGACAGAAGACAACCTTGTGGAGCTGGTTCTGCCCTTCATCTTTGTGTGGGTTCTGAGGATTGAACATAGGTCATTGGACTGTCACAACAAGTGCTTTTACTTCCTCAGAAAAGATGTCTCCCTGAAACTGGGACTCATCATTCTGGCTGGCCAGGAAATTCCTGGAGGGTTACAGACAAGTGTGGCCTATCTGGGTTTACATGGTTGCTGGGAATTGGAACTCAGTTTTTCTTTTCTTTTCTTTTCTTTTCTTTTCTTTTCTTTTCTTTTCTTTTCTTTTCTTTTCCTTTCTTTCCCTTCCTTCCTTCCTTCCTTCCTTCCTTCCTTCCTTCCTTCCTTCTTTTTGGCTTTTCGAGACAGGGTTTCTCTGTGTAGCCCTGGCTGTCCTGGAACTCACTCTGTAGACAAGGAGACAAAGTTGGCCTCAAACTCAGAGATCTGCCTGCCTCTGCCTCCCAAGTGCTGGGGTAAAAGGTGCGTGTCTCTAGGCCTGAGTAGTCCTTGGAGTTTTGAGATAGGTTCTGTCTAGCCTAAGATGGTCTCTTAACTGATGGTCTCACTCCATCTGGAATTACAGGCATGTACCCCCACGAACGGTGAGGGCCTTGTGTATTCCAGGAAAGCACTCTACTACTGATCTATCTCCAGCTCACATTTTACTTTGTTTGTTTTTTTTTTTTTTTTGGTTTTATGAGACAGGGTTTCTCTGTATTGTTTTGGAGGCTGTCGGTCCAGCCCGGCCTCGAACTCACAGAGATCCGCCTGCCTCTGCCTCCCGAGTGCTGGGATTAAAGGTGTGTGCCACCACCACCCGGCCCTTGTTTTAAGCAAGTTGTTACTGTCATCCAGGAGGGCCTTTAACTCCTGATCCTCCCCCCTCAGCTTCCAGAGCACTGGGGCCACAGGTGTGCCCCGTCATGCTCCCCCCTCAGCCTCCAGAGCACTGGGGCCACAGGTGTGCCCCGTCATGCTCTCCCAGTTATAAGCATTTTTTTTTCTTTCTGGACAGGGTCTCGTGTGTCCTGGCCTGGCCTCCTACTTTTTGTGTAGCTGAGGATGACTGGGACTTCTGATTGACCTGCCTCTGCCTCTCAAGTGCTAGGAGTATCGTGGGCTCCACCACACAAGGTTTATGCAGGACACACCATGTAGTGAAGTCTCTGGCTCTGGACAGGCAAGGGGGACAGTTCTTTTTTTTTTGGTTTTCCGAGACAGGGTTTCTCTGTATTGTTTTGGAGTCTGTCCTGGAACTCACTCTGTAGACCAGGCTGGCCTCGAACTCACAGAGATCCGCCTGCCTCTGCCTCCCAAGTGCTGGGATTAAAGGCGTGCGCCACCAACATGGGGCCCAGTTCTTAAGGATTCTGCCAGGCCATAGCTGTTGGTGGGTGGGTAGAGGCAACATTGGGGCCACAAAGTCAGGTCTTAGCCTAGAGGGACTGGTACATGACTTTCACTCTCTAGTACGGTTACTGCTTCTTTGGTGCCTGTCTCAGGGTGACTATTGCTGTGGTGAACCGCCATGTCCGAAAGCAACTTGAAGAGGGAAGGGTTACTTGGCTTACACTGCTACGTCCCTGTCAAGACAGGAACTCAAACAGGGCAGGAACCCGGAGTCAGCAGCTGATGCAGAGAGTTGCTGCTTACTGGCTTGCTCAGCCTGCTTTCTTATAGAATCCAGGGCCACCAGCCCAGGGATGGCATCATCCACCACGGGCTGAGCCTTCCCCATCAATCAGTAATTAAGAAAATGCCCTACAGGTTTGTCTGCTTACAGCCCAATCTTTCATTCATATATTTAACTTTATTTTATGTGCATTGGTGTGAAGATATCAGATCTCCTAGAACTGGAGTTTCAGACAGTTGTGAGCTGCCATGTGGGAGCTAGGAATTGAACCCAGGTCCTCTGGAAGAGCAGCCGGTGCTCTTAACCACTGAGCCATCTCTCCAGCCCCAACAGCCCAATCTTAACGGAGGTGTTTTCTCAATTTAGGTTCCCTTCTGTCAGATGACTCTAGCTTGTGTCAAGTTGACATAAAACCAACCAGCACAGGAGCTGTGCTAAGGGTGCAAAGCTGACCTTTTCCCACAACACCGTGGATGCTGATGTGGACTCTGAAGCAGGAAGCCTCTCACCTATCAATCTAAGCTAGAGCTTCACTTTGACCTCAGGACCCGCGGGAGGACATGGGGAGGATGGGGTGTATCCTTTTCACTGTGATAGGAAGTCAGCAGGTCCTGTGTTGCTCATGGCCCAGAACCTTCCAGAGCTGCTTAGCCAGGCTGTAGCCTCTGCTTCCTGTCCTGCTTGGAACAAAGCCATACTAAGGCTGTCTGGGTCTGAGGCCTCTGTCTTATCTGGTCATCTGCCCTGCTGTCCCAGCCTCACCCTCAGCTTAGAAGACCCAGTAGGTCTCTGTGGACAGAGCTGGTGTCCATGTGTGTGGGTCATGTGCCTTCTGGTTATATTTGCTTTGGGAACCTGCCTGTGGGCTTTCTTACTCCCCGAGTTTAGAGGTCCCAGTCAGTTGATTGTGGTGTCATATGTCTAAAATCCCCCAACTGAGGAGGCTAAGGCTGGTGGATTTCCTGGAGTTCAAGGTCAGCCTGGGCTAGAGTAAGACCTAGTCTTCAAAAGCAACAGCAACCTGTCCCTCCCCCCCACACACGTACACACAAAGTTGTGACTGCATGCCTGTCTGCCTCTCCAGCACTCAGGAGGTGGAGGCAGGAGTTCAAGGTCATCCTTGGCTCCATAGTGAATTTGAAGCCAGCCTGGGCTACATAGACCCTATTTTAACAACAAAAACAAGACCTTAACGTAAGCAAGCCTGGACTCTCCTCTGTATTGAGAGAGAAGACTTTGTAGCTGTAGTGGGAAATAGCGGCTACAGCTGCAGCCGCCGCCCCTTCTCTCCCCCACATCTGCCTTTCCCCTTTCCCAGGTGCACAGAGGGACGCCTTCCTCCTTGGCTGCATCTGTCCCTCTCTGTAGTCACCAGGCCCTCCATTTCCTTGCTGCTTCCTTTGTGGTGTCCTCACACTTGTGTCTTCCTGTGCCTGTCCTGTCACACCTCTCGCCTTTCCTGAAGCCACAGTTAGTGCATGCATGGCCATTGTTTGTCAGAACAGCAAATGTGTCACAGCTCAGTCAACAAAGGGCTTGCCTAGCACATTCAAAGTTCCATCTTTGATGCCATACAAACTGGGTGTGGTGACACACCTGCAAAGCCAGCATGGTGGGGGGCAGAGGGAGGAGGACCAACAATTCAAGGCCATCCTCAGCTACATAGTTTGAGCCAGCCTGAACTACATAGACTATCTCAACAAAGAAAGGAAAGATGGGTCAGAGAATACATTTGATGGATAACTCCTCCCTCTGCTGGGCCACTGCTGTTGACTACGTCCTGTGATTAGGACCCTTTCCTAAATTCAAGGCTACCAGGTAAGCCTTTGAATCTTTCAGAGCCAAGGTCTTTCTAGATTTTTCTGCCTTGCTTCCAGTGTTTTCTTTCCATCGGTCCATCAAGCCTTGTGGTTTTGCAGTAGGTATGGTGTTGCACACCTGTTGTGCAGGGAGGCTGAATCAGGAGGATTGTGAATTCCAACCCAGCCTGGGCTTTATGTTGGTTTGTCCCTGGGACGTGGCATCCTCTCCAGAGGCAGGACCACATGTGCATCATGGAAGGCCTGGAGGACAGGATAAATGTGCCTCCCCAAGAGCTTGATCACAGTTCATAGTGGCATCTCTACCCAGGTTGGAGTCTGTGCCCACAGCCACAGTCTACACAGTCTGCTGTGTGAGGTACGGCCTGTTCTGAGCACACACAGGCTTCCAGAACAGCCAAATGGCGCCATTCCTCTGGATCACTGCCTTCGGAGGCAGCCAGCCCAGAGATGATGCAGCAGGTGGCAGGAGCTCAGGAGGCTCTGCTTGCTTGGCAGTTGCTTCTTGGGGTGGGGCTGCAGGGGCACCTGCATTTTCTGGGGGAGTGCTCTGATGGGAGCCCTGGGAGCCCACGTCCACGCAGCCTGCCATGAACCTGAGCTTGTGCCAGCCCGACTCCCTGTGGGGAGGAGGTGACACAGGGACAGGTTGTTCGGGCTGTGGATTTGGGGTGCACCCCTGTGGTGAGAGGATCACGTGTCAAGCAGAAAAGGGTGCCCTTTCCCACGGCTGGAGGCGGGGTGTTCACCCTGAGTCACCCTAGGCTGCCTGGGCGGAAGCAAGAGAGCTACTTGAGCCAGGCCTGGCACAGTCTCGGGAGCAACTTTGAGCTTTCATTCTCCCTCATCCTGCTTGGCTTAGAGTTCAGCGTCAGCCCCTTAAGCCAGAGGAGATGGGTATGGTACCCCAGAGAGCTGAATGGCAAGGGCAAGTCTGACCCTTGCTGGCTAGTAGTTTGAACCAGCTGGGAAGGGTCAGAGTTAGGATGAGGTCTGATCTGGATGGATCCCATTTCTTAGTTCCCTGACTACCCTCAGATGGTGCCTCCATTAGGTCAGTTTCTCAACCATCCTGGGTGTTGCACACAGGGAAGAGGGTAAGGGCTCATTGGCCCACAGTTGGAGGATGAGAGAGATAGGATATTCACACCGGGCTGAACACTGACAGATGACTTCTTTCAGGGCAAGGTTCTGACTGTCTAATTGGAAAGGGCTTAAAAGTCCGTACTGGACACTTTACATTACCACTGTAACTAAGCTGGTCTGGGGACTCCTGGGCCTGTAGTGCAAGTCCATGCCGCCACCTAGTGGTAGAGGTGACAGTTACATCCTGTAAAGAAGCACATGGGAAGCTGAGGCAGGAGGACCACTGAATTCAAGGCTAGCCTTGGCAGCAGAGTGAGACCCTGTCTCAAAATAGAAACTGAGGTATAAGCCAGGCAGTGTGGCTCATGCTTTTAATCCCAGCACTTGGGAGGCAGAGGCAGGCAGATCTCTATGAGTTCAAAGCCAGCCTGGTTTACAGAGTGAGTTCCAGGACAGCCTCCAAACCTACACAGAGAAACCCTGTCTGGAAAAAAAATTGAGGGATGAAAATGACTAATGTACATATGCAAAATTGTGAAAAAAAATAAAAGCAAGATTTAAAAACTAAAGGGCTAGGAGTATGGTTCAGTGTAGGAATGCCTGTCTAGCCTAGCATGTCTGAGGCCTAACTTCAATTCCCAGCACTGCAAAAAGCCAGACAGTTGCAGTAGTTACACACCTTTAATGGCAGCGCTTGAGAGGCAGAGGCAGGTGGATCTCTGAATTGGATACCAGCCTGATCTACAGAGCAAGTTCCATGCCAGCCAGGGCTACACAGAGAAACCCTGTCTTTTTATTTATGTATTTATTGATTGATTTTTCGAGACAGGGTTTCTCTGTATATAGCCTTGGCTGTCCGGGTCTTACCCTGTAGATTAAACTGGCCCCCGAAGTCACAGGGATTCACCTGCCTCTGCCTTCCAATTGCTGGGATTAAAGGCATGCACCACCACCGCCCAGCTGAGAAACCCTGTCTTGAGGAGAAAAATCAATTAAAAAATGCAAAGGGCTAGGGTTGTGGCTCAGTGGTAGAGCCTGGCTGGCTGGCACGTTTGAGGGTCTGAGTTCAGCCTGTGGCATCACACCAGCAGAATGAACAACACAGAGCGTGGGGCCATGCAGAGGTGGCTCAGTAGTTAAGAGCATATAGTGTTGTTGCAGAGGACCTGGAATCAGTTCCTACAGACAAGTGGCTTACAAACTTGGGTAACTGTTTCTAAGGGATCTGACACCTCTTCTGCCCTCCTTGGGTACAAGGCACACATCTGGGATACATACATGCAGGAATTCACACATATGTATAAAATATAAATAATTTTTTTTTAATTCAAAGGAGGTGAGGCATGTTCACTGTGTCTAAAACAGTAGTGACCCTTCCATGGAGCCTGTGTGGTGGGACTTGTGCTCTGGGTTGATGGCAAGATGCTGGCCTCAAAGCAGCCCCAGGGGACTTTTTTCCTTCTCTGTCCCTTTCCTATCCACTCTGGCCTGCTGGACCTGCCTTTGTCAGCTGATCTGTCACTGCCATCAGCCTGACTCCCCAGGGTAGCATCAGTGTGAATCCCCTTAAGGCCAGCAGGTGTGACAGAATGGGGTGGGATAACATACTAAGGAAGGCAGAGGGCCTGAGCCAGTGCGTGCTGGCAGGGTCTGTAGACAGTTCCTAGCCACATCTTATCCTTGGAGTCAAAATCTCCTTGGGAAGCCAGGTGGTGGTGGTGCACGCCTTTAATCCCAGCACTTGGGAGGCAGAGGCAGGCGGATCTCTGTGAGTTCGAGGCTGGGCTGGACTGACAGCATCCAAAACAATACAGAGAAACCCTGTCTCATAAAACCAAAAAATAAAAATAAAAATAAAAAAAATCTCCTCGGGTGATCCAGGTCCCTGCACTCACATCCTTCTCTCTGCAGGCTGGAGCAGCCCTATTTCAATGCCAACGCACAATTCTTCCAGGCACTGAGCCAGTGTTCAACTCTGCAGCGCCTGTGCCTGGTGTCTCGAAGTGGAACCCTGCAGCCGGATGCTGTGCTGGACTTCATGGGCCGTTGCCTGCATGTTGTTGTGTGTCACATGTTCACTGGAGAATCCCTCATCACCTGCAAGAACCTACAGCAGGCACTCCTCCGGAGGTGAGTAGCATGACCTGGCATGGTCTGCTGGTGGCTGCGAGGGCTTGGCAGTACCAGTGTCCTCAGCCCAGTAACAACTTTGGGGAGATGGAGTACCAGATCCCAGTGCATGAAAAGAGGGCCTGGCCTCCCGAGGGGTACTTGTTCCTATAGATAATCTCTGGTCTCAGCCACTTACAAGGCCAGGACACAAGGATCCTGGGAGTTCAGGGCTAGGCCTCAGCTACAGAGTTTATACTGGGTTCTGGAAGCCACTGTGTCTCATGTGGGCCCAGGAGGGACTTCTTGATCCTTCCCTCATCGTTGTGAAGGCTCTGTCTTCAGACCTCCCAAAGCTCCACCTGTGTTGTTGAGAAAGGGTCTGTCTGTATTCCAGGCTAGTTTGGAATTCACTGTGCAGACCAAGTTGCCTTGAACTTGGGGCTCCTCCCGTCTCTGCTTCTGCAGTGCTGTGGGATCTCACACCGTGAGTCCCTGTGTCAGCCTTTTGCTGATAGCATGTCAGGAGTTAGGATTTCAGCACAAGGACTTTGGGGCACAGCATGCAGCCCCTGATCACTGCTCATGGTTTTGTTCCCGTCTACTCACTGAATGCCACCATGAGGAAGACCTGCTCCTGGCTTCCCCAGTTTATCCATGGCTTTGGTCATTTTATCAGGTACCAGTATGGGCTTACGGTATTCAAATTTTATATTACATTTATACATTTATTTATTTTGTGTGTGTTTTCGGGACAGGTCAGAGGACAGCTTTCAGGGATTAGCTCTCCTTCTACCACAGGGGCCTGAGAAATGGGTGTATTAACTACAGCTTACAGATGAGGGATGGAGGCAGGAAGTGCTGGAGCCAGTTGGCAGCATGCAGGATGGAACTGCACCCCGGAAGTGAGACACAGGCTAGGCTTGGTGCTACAAGCCTGGAATCCCAGCACTCAGCAGGCTGAGGCGGAATAGGGAGTTTGGGTCAGCCTGGGCTACATAGTTAGTTCAAGGCAACTTGGGCTATATAGCAAGACCATTTGAAAAAAACAAGTAAGGGACTTTAGCTTCAGTTCTTGCAGCATGGGGCTCGAGAAATGATTCCACAGTTAAGAGTGCTTACTGCTCTTGCCGAGGAGCCACTGCCAGATCAGGTGGCTCTCACTGCTACCTCATGGCCTCTGCTGGCCACTCTGGGCCCCCGCATACACGTGGTGCACATAAACACAAATGGGCTCACATGCATACACACATCTAAATAAATAAGTCTCAATCTCTGTAGTGCCACAGATGTGCTGACACATGCTTGCAGTCTCAGCAGTTGGCTGGCGGAGGTGGGATTCAGGGTCATCCTCTGTTGCATAGTGAATTTGAGGCTAGCCTGGGCTACATGAGACCCTGTCTTTTTTTTTTTTTTTTAAGGTTATTCATTTATTATGATCTGCCTGCATGTATACCTGCAGGCCCAAAGAGGGCACCAGATCTCATTACAGATGGTTGTGAGCCACCATGTGGTTGCTGGAGATTGAACTCAGGACCTCTGGAAGAGCAGGCAGTGCTCTTAACCTCTGGGCCATCTCTCCAGCCTACGAGACTCTGTCTTAAGAAAATGTAAACCAGGGAAGAGGGAGAGGATGTGGCTGGTATGAGCTGAGTCCTCACCCAGGCCAGCACAAAGTCTTCTCCTGGATTGTTGGCAGCCTCCGACCGCAGCAAAGCCCGAGAGCCTCATAGATGAGGCTGTTCTGTGGATGCCTCTGCTGCATCCTTGCCATCTACAGTGGCAGCTCTGCCGTGCACCCCTCCCCCAGTGTGACAGTAGCCTTTTTTTTTTTTTCTCTGTGGCTTTGGAGGCTGTCCTGGAACTCCTTCTGTAGACCAGGCTGGTCTCGAACTCACAGAGATCCACCTGCCTCTGCCTCCCCAGTGCCGGGATTAAAGGCATGCGCCATGATACTTGGCAACAGCAGCCTTTCTATGTGGACCTTGGGCTCCTGTCCTCCCACAGTCAGCTGGACGCTTCCCGAGCCCAGCTGTGCAGGGCGCTCTGCTGCAGGGCTCCAGTAGGTGGTGCTGTTGCTTTCAGCAGCCGCATTCAATGCCCTGGGTGTTTGTGAAAAGCAACAAAGGTGGCTGTCCTCTTTCCTGGTGCTTTTGTTGTTTGTTTAGTTTATTTATTTTTTTTGTAGACAGGGTTTATGTAGCTCAGGCTGGCCTTGAGGATGACCCTCAACTTCCTGTCATAATCCTGAGTACTGGGATTATAGGCGTGACACACCACTTTTAGGGTAGTCCACGCTGGTCTTAAATCTCCTCCTCAGCTACACGGAGCAGTCCCCTGTGCTCTTCTCTTGCCTGGAGAGCTCAGGGAGGCACTGACCTTGTACTCCTGAAAACCCCCTCCCTGCTGCTGCATGTTAGCGGCCCTCACCCGGCAACATGGAGGTCTCAGCCAACAAGACTGGGGTCCCTTCCTCCCTGCCACTTTAATTGGGGAAGTGTTGCTCCTTTCCAGGGTCACCCTTCGTGTCTGTCCCCAAGCTGGCTGCTTGCGTGCCTCAGGTCCCTGAACAATTGCTCCTTTCTCACCTCCCATGTTTGGCTTTTTTGTTTTTGATGCCAAGACTGCAGCCCAGGTCCTTCATGTTTTAGGGTTTGGATTTGGATTCCCCCACCTCGCAGGAAACAACTGGATTTAGGTTGCCTCTGTGTCTAATGCCACACACGGTAGCATGAACCTCACTTGTTCTCCATGTTTTGTATGCCATGTCTGTCGTTTATTTAGTGTGTGTGTGTGTGTGTGTGTGTGTGTGTGTGTGTGTGTGAGTGAGAGAGAGAGAGAGAGAGAGAGAGAGAGAGAGAGAGAGAGAGAGAGAGAGAGAGAGGGTCTCATGTAACCCAGGCTAGCCTCTAATGGGGTAAAGGATAACTTTATATTTCTCAAGTTTTGGTGTTACAGGCATATGCTGCCATGTTAGATATGTGCTGTGCTGGACCTGTGCATATCCTGTAAATACTCTGTAGCTGAGCCATGTCCCAGCCTTGGGATGTCATGTGTGCAGTGCTGTTCTGGGGAAGACACTTAACCTCCCGAGTGCTGAGATGCCAGGCACACCGCCGTGCCAGCTCCTTTTCTTACCTTTTGTACCATGCGGCCTCACTAGTGTTCTATCTTCTTCTGCGTGTCCCTCTCCTGTTTGGACCCCTTTGACCCCGTATGAGGTCTCAATCACTGTCTGAGGACCAGAATCAGTGACGGAGCTTCCTGGTAGACCCCGGGGGCTTGTAGCCTCCCAGGGTGATGAGCTGAGAAGTGTGTCTGCCCAGATTACCCTAGTTCCTGCCTGTGCCCGGTGTCTCCCACTTAGCTTCCGGCCTCAGGCACACACGCCTGCCCAGCACTGGCCCTGCCTCTGTCCATGTGTGTCTTTCCTAGAAACTCGTACTGGCCGTTTCTGTGCATGGTCGCCTCGCCTGCTGGTGTCTGTCTGCAGCACCGTGGCATCAAGGTCTGGGCCTGGGCGTATGGCCATCTGTCGAGCCTGCCCCGGACTCTTCTTTCTCACCTCTACTTCCCAGACCTGCCAGGCAGGGAGGCCCCATAAGCCCCTGCTTCCCTGGGCATGGGGTGGACCCCATGTCACCTGGTCACTGCAGCACTGCTGAGGTCTAGCCTACACCATGTCCCACCAGTCCCGAGACCCTAAGTGAGCTTCTCCTGACTTTTATCTCTGGGGAGTAGCATCTTCCAGCCACAACTGGAGCCTTTTGGTGATAGACTAGCTCTCTGCCCACCCTGGGTGAGCTGTGATGTGGGTGCTATCACCGACCAACCCTCCCAGTACTGTCTTCCCGAGGGCTGAGATTGGCTCCCTGGCTTTCCTCCTCACCTTCTGCCCAATGTAGGCTCTTCAGAGCACTTCCCCATGGCCCAGGCATGCTGACTTAAATCCTGTGTAGAATTTCTCCAGGTTCTGTCTCCTGTCTGCAGCAGGGCCCGAGCTCAGGAGCATGCGATAGCCTCTGGTACAATCACAGGCAGTAGCCAGGTCAGTGAAGGAGAGGGAAGAGCCGCTGCTTCCCTGGAGCAGTGGACCTGAGCTCGTGTCATAGCCTCTATCCTAAAGACTGGAAATCCCAAACCTGTCAGGCTAGTGTGTCAGAAGTCTGCTGCCGACTGCAGTAGCCATGCCACTCTCTCTTGAGGCCCAGCTGGCACTGCCTTCCCACATGGGGTCTTGAAGTGTGCTTGTGGCCTGTTGCCGTATGTTGGGGCATATGGCCCTGGGAGGCCAACTGGCTGCCACAGCCTCTGCTGTGTCCCGTGAAGACACAGGGGCATTCTTCCCGTAAGTTTCCATCTTGCCAGAACCATAGTTACCAGCTTGTCCACTGCTGCTGCATTCTGGCAAGCTCTGGCCCACAGTAGTCCCAGGGGCAGCACTCAAGACTGAGTGAGCAGATATGGCTCTCCATGCCAGGAAAACGACTCGGTCTGTGTCTGGTATGTTGGAGAAGAGAACGTTTTCAGATGGGGCAGGGGATTGCTTAAGTCTCGCCAACGCCGAGAGCCTTAGACTTGGGCATCAGTTTTCAAGAATGGATTAGGGGCTAGGGATATGGCTTGGTTGGTATAATGCTTGCCTAGCATGCACAGCCCTGGGTTCCATCCCAGCATGCTACAAACTGGGCATGATGGTGCAGGTATGTAATCCCAGCACTTGAGAGATGGGGACAAGAGGATCCAAAATTTAAGGTCATCCTTAGCTGCATAGCAAGTTTGAGGCCAACCTGGGAAACATGAAATGTGAAGTTCTGTCTCCAAAAATTAAAAAAAAGAAAAAGAAAAGCTGACCGTGGTGGGTGGCACTCACTCGCCTTTAGTCCCAGCACTCAGGAGGCAGAGGCAGACAGATCTGTATGAGTTCAAGGCCAGCCTGGTCTACATAGCAAGTTCCAGGACAGCCAGGACTACACTGAGAAAACCTGTTTTGGAGAGGAAAAAGAAAAGAAAATAGAGCTGACTTTGCACTGATTTGTAGCCTGCATGGCTTCTGTAAGAGGCAGTTGGAGGCTAGGAAGCTGCCAGGCTCAGCACTGCTTTATGGTAACGCTAGAGCAGGCTGTTGGCATGTTCTCACCTGTCAAGCTGGCCACGTGGACCTACCGTGACTGGCTCAGTTGGAAGAACTGTGGCCTGGATACTGAGCTAGTGGCTGCTACGTTCCAGCTCCATGGAGCATGCTCAGAAGCCAGGGGCTGTGCACTGTGATGCCTGGAGGAGACGGCCAATGTGCCTGGATCCCACCATTGCGTTGGCAGCATGTGTGGATAAATGAGGGACATGACAGGGCCTGACTGGGGCCACAGGCTATTTCAGATGGGAAAATGTTGCCTGATGTTTCATTTGGTAGGTCTGTCCATCTGGGTGTGGATCCAAGGGGGTGTGACCTGGGGATTCTATTCTTATTTCAGAACCTCCAGCTGTTTTTTATTTTTATGTGCTTGTGTGTCTGTGTATGCATATGTGGGTCCAGTTACCTGTAGAGGTCAGTACAGAGTGCTGAATCCCCCTAAGAACTGCAGTTACAGATGGCTGTGCACCACCATGTGGGTGCTGGGAATCCAACTCAGGACCTCTGCAGGAACAGCTGGTGCCTTTGACCACTGAGCCATCTTTCCAGTCCTCCCAGAGCCTCCAGTTTTCCAGATGACTACAGTGTCAGGTCACATTGTCAGTCGGGACTGCCAGTGCTGTTTTGAGGGTGGCTAGGTTGTGTAGGTATGACACCCTCCATTGTCTGTAGTGGCCCAGTGAAGAAGGTGTGGGGCATGTCTTCCTCCAGTGCCTACCCTGTGCCCTCCTCGGCTTTGATCAGAGCCCCACCTTTTCTGATGTCTTCTATGGGAACAGTGCAAGGGAATATTTAAGAACAGTGGGATGGGGCTGGAGAGATGCCTCAGAGGTTAAGAGCACTGGCTGCTCTTCCAGAGGTCGTGAGTTCAATTCCCAGCAACCACATGGTGGCTCACAACCATCTATGATGAGAGCTGGTGTTCTCTATTGGCATGGAAGCAGATCAGTGTACATATAATAAATAAATAAATAAATAGCAGTGGGGTGAGGTGTTTCCAGCCTGGGGCTCCTGAGACTGCTGACAGGGCCTCTGGGCCAAGCAAAGCATTTTGCCATTCCTACCCCTCAGCTCACCCAAGTGAGTTTTGTTCCTGCTTAAATTTTTTTGTTTTCTTTTGTTTGAAACAGGGTCTCCCTTTGTGGTCTTGGCTACCCTAGAACTCGCTCTGTAGACCAGGCTGGCCTCAAACTCACAGTTTGATCCTCCTGCCTCTGCCTCCTGAGTGCTGGGACTAAAGGTATGCATCATCATGCCTGGCTTGTTTTACTTTGAAAAAGGGATTTTTTTGGGGGGGGGTGTTTCAAGACAGGGTTTCTCTGTGGCTTTGGAGGCTGTTCTGGAACTTGCTCTTGTAGACCAGGCTGACTTCGAACTCACAGAGATCCACCTGCCTCTGCCTCCTAAGTGCTGAGATTAAAGTTGCATGCCACCAATGCCCGGTGAAACAGGGTGAAACTGGAGTTTTTGTAGCCCAGGTTGACATCAAACCTAGTCTGTAGTTGAGGATGACCTAAACCTCTGACTGCTGCCTCTGTCTCCTGCGTTCTGGGACTACAAAGATATACTTGGTTAATGGGGAGTGCTAGGGACTGAACCCTAGTGAATGGAACACTAGGCAGACACTCTACCCACTGAGCATGCCCAGCCTGGCAGTAGCTGTTTCTTCTTTCTCCTTTAGATTTGCTTATTTGTTATTTTATGTGCCTTTATGTATGTCTGTGCATCGTGTGTGTGTCTGGTGCCTGCAGAGGTCAGAAGAGGGTATTGAATCCCCTGAGACAAGTTATAGACAGCTGTAAGCCGCCATGTGGGTGCTGGGAACTGAACCTGGGTTCTCTGACAGGGTTTATCTGTGTAGTCCTGGAAATCACTCTTGTAGACCAGGCTGGCCTTGAACTCAGAGAGATCTGCCTGCCTCTGCCTCCCCAGTGTGGGATTAAAAGCATGAGCCACTGCCGCCCAGCTGCAGCCAGTGTTCTTAACTGCTGAGCCATCTCTCCAGCCCGTCACTGTTTTCTTTTTCTTTTTTCTTTTTTCTTTTTTGGTTTTTTGAGATAGGGTTTCTCTGTATTGTTGTGGAACCTGTCCTGGCACTCACTCTGTAGACCAGGCTGGCCTCGAACTCACAGAGATCCGCTTGCCTCTGCCTCCCAAGTGCTGGGATTAAAGGCGTGCGCCACCAACGCCCGGTCCGTCACTGTTTTCAATGTGTGTATTCATTACTACTCTCTGTCCTTGACCCCTTCATGTTGCCCCCAGGTCCCTCCAGTCTACTCTGGCTCTAGGAATCTGACGACTCACGTAGGATCAGAAGCAGGCGTGCTGGACACTGAACCCAGGCTCTCCTGTGGCTCGCCAGCACTCCACCTGCTGAGCTCCTCAGCCCGCATCCCCTGTTAACAGCTGATCTCTGGTTCAGTTTCCAGGCTGAGAGGCCCGCCTTGAATGTCGTCATCTTCCCCCTGCTCCACGAAGGCCTGACAGATGTCATCCGAGATGTCCCCATGGTGCACCTGGACGAGATCACCTTATTTAAAAGCAGAGTGGCTGAGGAGCCACCGAACCTGTGGTGGTGAGAGGGCTGCCTGGCCCCCAGCCCCTCCACTCCTGCCAGCAGGCAGTGGGCCCCTGTTCTGAGACATTCACCCTCGTCTCCCCGGTCTCCTCTCAGTCTCTCTTAGGAGTACTGGGGCTCAGTGACAAGTGATGGGGTGGGCCATGGTTGTGACAGCAGTGGAGGAGTCATACTGGCCTTCAGAGCCTGGCCAGACTCCCAGGGCTTTGTGGGCTGCAGGCCTCAGGCCACCTACTTACTTCAGCCTGGGAACTGTCCCTCTGCCCCTTTGCCCATGGTCATCTACAGTTGAGCTGTATCCACAAGGGGTCAGGGTGGGCCGGGCTGTCACTGTGAAATACCCACAATGACACCTGTGAGCCTGTGGCTGGTTTTCCTACTGAGACAGATTTAGGACGGGGTCCAATGACAGAGCACTCACCTAGGTGTGTGAGGCCGTGGGTCCCATCCCCACTACAAAGAAAAAGAAAATGTTTTAACTCAATGGTGTCTCTGGGATGCTTTCAGCCCAATGATACCCTGCCAGAGGGTTCCCTGGGGCAGCAACTGTAGGATGGCACCATCCCCAAGCTGAGCCTGAGGACTCGGGCCTGAATCTCACAAGTGGTCACTTCTCCCCCATAGTCCATGGGCTCCTGCTTGAAAAGTCTAGGTGCTGTGGAAGTCTGAACGCTTCCCAGGGAGTCCACACCGCTGGCCTTGTTAGGATAACCAAAAACAGTAAAAACCAGAGTGGGCATAGGGTGCTGCAGCAGAGATCACAAACCTGTTTAGTCCTTACAAAGATTCACTGAGAGCTGTGGGTGTGGCTTTAGGTTTCCATGGAAACAGGAAGGGCCCGTTTCCATTCCCAGCACTGTGTACTCCTTCCTGGTGGCTCACACCTGTAATCCCAGCATTCAGGAGGTCAAGGCAGGAGCTTGCAGCATAATTGAGGAAGAGGCTGGCCTGGGCTACATAAGACCCCGTTTTAATCTCAATAAATCAAAAAAAAAAAGTAAAGAAAGCTGAGGGAGGACCCGGTGTCTGTAGCCTTACCTTGTCCCCCACACTAGTTACAGAGTCAGTACCCCAGAGGGGACTGGTGAGGGCCCTGTGGTTGGACTCCTGCCTGCGCCTCTCAGTGGTGGATGGGTCCCCAGAGCGCTGTGGTCATTGCTCCAAGTCTGGACATCTCCGTCCATGCAGGCCCACCAGACCTTGCTCACTGCTGGTGACCTTCGCAGACCCAGCCTGCCTACATTCTCTGTCTCCTTGGCAACAAGTCCTCCTAAGCCGTGGTTTCTTCAGCTTCCCTTCGTGGTAAGGAGCAGAAGGAACTGGCCTCTGGGTGTGTGCCCTGTTGTCTATGGCAGGCTATGCCTGGCTGCTGGAGCCTGGGGGGCCTGAGGGCTTCTGACCTGGCTCTGGGGACAGTGTTAGGGGAACAGCCCTCAAAATCCCAGGCCCCAAGAGATGTACCTCTGCCTGGCCCCCTCTGTTGTAGTCCCAGTGTTTACACGTGGTCTGCAGTGCCCAGCCCTTTCTTCTCATCCATTCTCTATAGAGCCCAAGGTGATCCCTCTCGGAGGGATCCTCTGTCTGTAGGCTGATCCCAGGGGATACCCACCCCACCCCCAGAGCCCTCACCTTCACAGACCTAACACAGTTTCTGAGAGCTACGAGCCTGTCCTATCTTATCTGGGCATTGCAGGCCATGGGACCAGCTGCCAAGATTCCAGGGGGCAGACTGAGGCCCCACGCAGCTGTAGCCAGGGGTCCCAAAGGTGTTGGACCTCCTTCCCCAGTTTCTTAGCCATGTCTTTAGAGCACTAAACTGACACCTGAAGGCCACCATGTAGGCTCTCCAGGACCAGCTGCTGCTTGTCCTTCAAATGAGAATGTAGCTGGTCACAGCCTATGAGGGAGGCAGGTTGCTTGGAGGTGTCAGGTCCCAAGAGTCCTTGTGACTTCTTCCTTTGAAGGAAACCCCACTCAGCTGGGTGTGGTGGCGCAGGGTTTAACCCCAGCACTTGGGAGGCAGAGGCAAGTGAATCTCTGTGAGTTCGAGGCCAACACAGTCTACATAGAAACCATGTCTCAAAAAACGGCAGCCCTGTTCAGACAGGAAATCACCTTTCTGCTGGGATTTTATTCCGGAGACCAGAGCTGTCCTGTCAGTCCTGTGAATAAACAGTTCTTAGAGCCAGCAGTTTTAGCTAGTGGTGTCATTGATTCCCAGAAACTGGGCTGACAGGGAGGCCTGGTCAGAGGAGGCTGGGGCGCACACTGACTGAAGAAGCACCCCCAAGCAGCAGGCCTTGTATTCTTGTCTTGACTTCAAGTGAGAATTTTCTCTCCTTCTCCACTGGGGACAGGATCCACCAGATGTCAATAGCGTGCTTATTTTTGCTAAGTGCTATTTTGGCACTGGTGTTAATCTCAATTTATAGCCTGCAGCATTTGATGCTGGGAGAAGAACCCACCCTAATGGGCCCCGATTGGCAGGACTTGGCTGTTAAGTGGCAGACCATATGCTGCCTGCCGAGGAGATGGTGAGTGCTTGTGCCTGCGAGTGGGTATGTATGTGCCTGGTGTGTGTGCGAGACTACATGTGTGTTTGCATGTACATTTGTGTGCACATATACCTACGTATGCCTGTGTGCATGCACACAAGCTTGCATCTTCTGGTGTGTGTTGTCTGTGTTAGAGTGAGATAGTGGAGAGGAGGGAGATGGATGAATCTCCTTTTAAACAGAACCCTTGATCTCCCTGGCTGCCGGTACCCCTGCCTCAGCCCAGCCCTGGCTGCTCTTGGCTCCACCTCCTGCTCCAGGCCTCGTGGTGTTTGTTGTTTTGTTTATTTTGGTTTTTCAAGGCAGGGTTTCTCTGTGTGGCTCTGGCTGTCCTGGAACTCACTCTGTAGACCAGGCTGGCCTCGAACTCACAGAGATCCACCTGCCTCTGCCTCCCAAGTGCTAAGATTAAAGCTGTGTGCCACCACAGCCTAGGCAGCCCTTGTGTTTAATGTCCTGTCTTTGCTGCACATACCAGCAAGCCGTTCTGGTCTTGCCAAGTGGCTCTCCTCATTTTCTCTCTTATTAAAACCCTCACGCATGTGTGTATGTGTGTGCAGGTCTGTGTGTGCCAGGGCCCATATGGAGAGTGCAGAGGACAATTGTGGGCGTCTTGTCACCTTCCACCTTGTTTGAGGCAGGGTCTCTTGTTCGTGGTTGTATACACTAGGCTAGCTGACCCATAAACTTCCAAGGAGTATTTTGTCTCCATCTCCCATCTCTGGGATGACAAATGTACACTACCATATCGGGCTTTGTGTGGGTTCTGGGGATCTGAACTCAGGCCCTAACACAAGTATTCTACACACTGAGCCATCTCCCCAACCCGTTTTCCTGATTTTCATAAGAATTTTATCAGCCAGAGTGAGGAGTGCTTTGCTTTTATGACAGGTACAGGCTCCGTCTTGCCATTGACCTTTGGAGGCCCCGTAACAAGGCTATGAGGTCCAGATCTGGTCTGGACCCAGGTTATGGGCAGTGGAGGGCTGGACCCAGACACTGAGCCTGTGGATGCCTCTCACATTTGGGCATCCAGGGCAGATTCAGTGTCCATCTACCATATCAGACCCAGTGCTTAGCAAGATGATGGGGCTTGGGCTGGTGTAGGCCCAGAGGGATCTGTGGGAAAGATGGGCCCAAGCAGTGGAGCTGTAAGTACCAAGTCCTAGCCAAGGCAGAACCCTCAAGGAGGGTGGACAGCCACCCTAACAACCCTTCTGGGAGGTGTCAGCATGCCACCTCTTCCTCCAGCCTTTGCTGTGACCTGCCCCTTTGAAGAGCTGGAAATTGCTGAACTCATTCTTATAAGGAAAAATAAAAGAAACCAAGTTTGATGGGGCTTATCTGTCATCCCAACCTGCAGGAGGTGGAAGCAGGAGATCAGGAGTTCGCGGCCAGCTTTGGCTATATAATGAATTTGAAGCTAGCCCTGGCTGTCTGAGACTCTATGCCAATAGAGATGAGAGACTGAGACAGGGAAAAAGACATGAAATTCTGAATGGGGTATGAAGCGTGACTGCAGGTAATGGGCCCTATATGCTGACCTCGTCTGATGTGCGACCAGTTCGTTGGTACTTACAGTTACTAGGGGCATCCTCTGCACTGTTGTAGGGTTTTTTTTTTGTTTTTTTTTTTTTGGTTTTGGTTTTGGTTTTGGTTTTTCGAGACAGGGTTTCTCTGTGGCTTTGGAGGCTGTCCTGGAACTCGCTTGGTAGTCCAGGGTGGTCTCGAACTCACAGAGATCCGCCTGCCTCTGCCTCCCGAGTGCTGGGATTAAAGGCGTGCACCACCAATGCCCGGCTTGTTGTAGGGGTTTTGTGACTGGTCTCATCTGCATTTGGGGCTGCAGGGTACAATAGAAGTTCCTAGGCTCTATGTTAATACTGCACGGGAGTCTAGACCAGCTGCGGGTCCTGTGTTAGCTGTTCAACCTTCATCTCGTTGGAGGACCACCCATGTGTGGGCTTTTCTTTGAGTCATTGGACTAGGAACTTGGCTGCACCTGTCCCACCCCGACCTCTGTGCTGACGAGCTGTTCACGGGTCTCTGTGCAAGGAATGTATGTACGAACAAGGGTTTCCATAGCAGGCGTGTGCATGCATCTGTAGGTGTGTCTGTGTGAGTCTAGGTAACAGCGTGAAGCCTCTCCTATGTCACTTCTGACCGTGACACATTGTGCGTGACTTTACCTGGCACCATATGAGTTGAGTGTTTTGGGGCATGGGGTTTGGCCTTGTGACCAGGTGCTAAGTGCCCCCCCCCATGACTGAGCGCCCTGACTCCTGTCTGTCTGGGAGAACTGCCTGTAGTTAGTATCTGGTAGTGACACCCTCCCTGATATCACTGTGGTGCTGACAAACTACATTCTGAATGGGCGTTTTTATGTAAATCTGTGGCATGTGGAAAATAAAATAAAATGAACTTGATTTGGAAAAACAGGCAGATATGTGGTCCTTCCAGCAGGGACTCTGCTGTGTGGTCTGCTTCATAGGCTCAAGTGGGGAGGGTCCTCCGTTCTTTTTTCTTTTAATCATTTGTTTATTTTTACGTGCATTGGTATTTTGTCTTGCCTGTGGAAGGGTGTTGTAGTTACCTACAGTTGTGAGCCGCTGTGTGGGTGCTGGGAATTGAACCTGGGTCCTCTGCAACAGCAGTCAGTGCTCTTAACCCCAGAGCCATCTCTCCACCCACCTCCTTCATTCTTTTTTGAGACAGGATCTCAAGTGGCTTAGGCTGGCTTCAAATTTTATATGTAGACAAGGCTAGCTTTGAACTCCTAATCCTGCTTTTGCCTCCCAAATGCTGGATTACAAGTGTGCACCACCATCCCTATCTGGGTGTGGATATCAGTGTTGACCTTGACCTCAGCGGAACCTGTGGCAAAAACACATGAACTGTGTGGCCTCCTCTGGGCTAGTCAGGCTTCTTTACAACATGGCTGCCAAATTTAAGCACAAGCATCCCAAGAAAAGCAGCAAGATGTGTTCAGCTTTGGCTCTCACCATTGTTGTCACCTCCACCCTTGACAGGCAGTCACAGAGGTCCACTACATTCAACAAAAGTAGACATAGACCCCCCAGTACCCAGGGGATGTGGGGGTCTCAATGCGCAAGACCTGATGGGGTGGAAGGCAGTACTGTGCCCATATTAGAAAGGGCATCTATTTGTGCCCTGGGCTGTCCAACCTAAGCAAGGCAGAGGCTGTGGCCTGGCTGTGAGGTGTGTATGGGGGATCATTGCCTCATGTTGGGGAGCACTTACATTAGTACATGCCTCCCTAGCCAGTGTCTATTTGTGGGATGCACTGCCTGGCAGCCATGGATCCATGAACTGTACTCTACGGGGTCAGCTACCCTTAGAGTTGACTGGGAGGGGGAAACCACCTGACTTTTGCATGCCTTTAATCCCAACACTTGAGAGGCAGAGGCAGGCAGATCACTGTGAGTTCAAGGCCAGCCTGGTCTACAAGGAAAATTCCAGGATAGCAAGGGCTGTTACACAGAGAAAACCTGTCTCAAGAAAAATAATAATAGGGCTGAAGAGATGGCTCAGAGGTTAAGAGCGCTGACTGCTCTTCCAGAGGTCCTGAGTTCAGTTCCCAGCAACCACATGGTGGCTCACAACCATCTACAATTCAGTCTGGTGCCCTCTTCTGGTATGTAGGCAAAACACTGCATAAGTAATAAATAAATCTTAAAAAAAAAGATTTTCCCAGAGGGCTTTGTGTTGAATCCTTGGCAGAAACGCATCTTCCCGCCCATTTGCTCTGAGAACACTGTACCAACATTTAAAAAAAAAAAGAAAGAAAAAGAAAAGAAAAATAATAATAATTGACTGGAGAGATGGCCCAGTGGTTAAGATCACTGACTCCTCTTCCAAAGGTCCTGAGTTTGAAAACAAGCACATACATGTTGGCTCAATATCATCTGTAACTCCAATCCCAGGGTATCCCATTCCCTCTTCTGGCCTCCTGGGGCAATGCATACATGTAGTGCACAGATGCACATACAGGCACACTCGTGTACACACACACTCACTCAGGCAAGTACGCAAATAAGGTGGGGGTGCAGAGTCGGCTCCATAGTTAAATGCCCTTGTTGCTCTTGCAGAGGACCTAGATTTGGTTCCGAGCTTCACATGATGGCTCACCATCTATAAATCAGTTCCAGGGTCTTTGATGCCCGTTTCTGACTTCTATGTGCACTAAGCATTCAGGAGGCAGAGGCAGGTGGATCTCTGTGAGTTCGAGGCCAGCCTGGTCTACAGAGCAAGTTCCAGGATGGCCTCCAAAACAATACAGAGAAACCCTGTCTCTAAGAACAAACAACAACAACAACAAAAACCCACTAGTTCTTGGGCTAGAGAGATGGCTCAGCAGTTAAGAGCACTGGCAGCTCTTCAAGAGGGCCCAGGATTAATTCACAGCATCTACATGGCATACATATATGCAGGCAAAATATCAATGCGCATTAAAAAAATAAATAAATCGCCGGGCATTGGTGGCGCACGCCTTTAATCCCAGCACTCGGGAGGCAGAGGCAGGTGGATCTTTGTGAGTTCGAGGCCGGGCTGGACTGATAGCCTCCGAAACAATACAGAGAAACCCTGTCTCGTAAAAACCAAAAAAAAAAAAAAAAAAAAGAACAAAGACATGTGGATCTAGACAGGACTTTCACAGCTTACATCAGGCAGAACACTGGACAGGACGTCTACACCTCACATCCCACACTAAGGAGACGGTGGTTGATGGGTCTCCGTGAGTTCAGGGCCAGCCTTACCAACATAGTAAGTTCCAGGACAGCCAAGGCTATGTCATAATACTATGCCACAAAGAAAGAAAAATGGGGCTAGAAAGCTGGTTCCGTGGTTAAGAGTACTGTCTGCTCTTGTAGAAGACCAGGTTTGATTCCCAGCACCTATAACTTCAGTCCCAGGGCATCTGATACCTTCTCCTGACATCAGGGGCACCAGGCATGTGCACGGTCCACAGACATGCACGTAGGCAGGAAGATGAAGAGCAATTGAGGAAGGTGCGGGATGTCAACTTCTGGCCTCTAATGCACATGCATGTGCATGCACATGTATGAACACACACACACACACACACATACACACATACAGAAGAGAAGACCTTTTACTGGCAGGACTACGACCACGAGGGGGACAAGAGCTCTTGTGTCCTGGGGGTGGGAATGTCAGTGGCTCTGCCAAGCCATGCGGAGGACACTGAGCTGCAGTGACTGGGACTATGAAGTCATGTCTACTAGACACAGCAATTCCACCTTGGGGGATTATTTCACAGCTCACTGAACAGGCACAAAGTGACACATATATAATGTTCATTATCAACTTCACATGTAATTGCCAAAGTCTGAAAGTATTCTAAGTGTCCAGCCACAGGGGATGAGTTAAATAAATTATCACACATCCACCCATCCAGCTACAAAGAATGACTGAGGAGAAAATGAATGCAAAGAAAGAAAATGACAGATGGAGAAACTTTGAGGGCTGGACTGGGCTCGGTGGGAGACCACAGGCCCTGGGTTTTATCTCCAGCACTATCAAAAAAGAAAAATAAGTTAAAAAAATTTACCACCAGGGCCGTTGAGATGAGTCGGCGGGTAAAGACACTTGCCGCCAATCCTGACAATCTGAGTTCCATCCCTAAAAAGTTATCGGAACCCAGACACACACCATGGTATGAGTTCAAGGTCAACTCAGGACACAGTGTCTGGCAGTAGTGGCACATGCCTTTAATCCCAGCACTCGGGAGGCAGAGGCAGGCGGATCTCTGTGAGTTCGAGGCCAGCCTGGTCTACAGAGTGAGTTTCAGGACAGCCAGGGCTACACAGAGAAACCCTGTCTTGGGAGAAAAAAAAATCACTCCTCCATAAAAAAGACAGAAAACTTCCATAATTTCCTAAAAGTCACTTCTTAGATTTCTGGCAACAAACCAGAGACTAGCGGTACACTAAACATTTATTCGTGGGGGAAAAAAACAGGTGAATCTTTGCTAACCATCAAGCTTTGGGACATTTTTCCTTTGTTCTATTCTGTCCCTTTTTCTCCAACTCAACGAAAGCCGCATCCCTGGAAGTGATGGCTCAGGATCTCTGACACTCCATTCCCCAAACCAGACACCTTTAGTGGGTCCCTGAAAGACACCTTTTTATGACAAACTCAAGATCTCCCCCAGCACTGCAGCCCTTTCCCCAGACCCATTTGTCAAAACTATTTACAACCAGGTGTTTTCTGTTGCAGCTGCCGGAGGCAATCAATAGTAGTTAACCAACTAACAAAGCCCAGATAGACTCAAGTCAGAGAGAAATAATAAAGAACCCAGACCTGGTGGTGCACGGCCATGTCCACTTAGGAGGCTGAAACGGTGGTACCCAGGAGATGGCTCCGAGGGTAAAAATTGCTTTGGGTACAAACCTGACGACCTGAGTTCCATCTTCCAGTGCCAGGTAAGTAGCTAGATTTGGAGGTGCACATCTACAATCCCGGCACTCTTACAGCCAGTTGAGAGGCAGAGACAGGAAAATCAACAGAGGTTCGCTTAAACTGAGCAAATAAGAGATTCTACCTCAAAACAAGGTGGAAGGGGTGGGATGTGCTAGTGCCCACCTTTAATTCCAGTAGGTGGATCTCCGAGTCCAAGACTAGCTTGACGTACATGCAAGTTCCAGGACAGCCAGGGCTACGTAGAGAGACGGGAGGGGGGCAGTGTCCGATTAACGCCTGAGTGGTTAATGGCCCCCCCCACTGTGTGGTGTCCTCACCCTCCTCGTGTAAAAACAGCAAACACTGTTCTGAAGAGCCCCTTTATCTGTATCAGGAATAAAAGATTTGATGATGGCAGCTGCCTCAGCAGCTGAGCCTCAGTAGTCAATGTTTTTTGTACTTTACTAAAAAAGAGTAGACGATCCTGACGCTTGCTCGGACTGAGAGATCCCAACTCAACATTTTTAGACTCCTAGTGGCTAGCCCATCACAGAGTGACTTGCCTTCTGCCCTCTCCGGAGAAACCGGAGACCTCAAGATAAACTTAAAAGATAACCCTTCCTGATCCAGGAACTAGCTCACCACATTCCTGCTCAATGTTTAACTGTACAATGCCCAAAGAATGCTTGCTTGAGATAACATTCCTGTTAAGACATAAGCTATCATTTAACTTCCTCGTCCTTTATGATGTTTGCCTAACTCCCCCATTCAGTTTTTCCCTTTTAAAAACTCCCGACTGCAGTTACTAGGGGTTGAACTCCTCTGCCCCTGCGAAGGTCATGAGCTGGCCCCAGTGCACTGGTTCCCCGAATAAACCTCGCGTGCTTGCAGCAAGAACGGTTTCTCTTGAATTATTGGGGCGTCGGCTTATCCCGAGTCTTGAGTGAGGGTCTCCCCACTCTGGGGGTCTTTCAGGACCAAAGGCCCTGCAC